ATATTATAATTATATAATATTAATATAATTATTATATAATTATTATATTTAGTAAAAAATCAAGTTTCTGTAAAGTGTTTTTATTAATTAAAACAATTATAAAAGTTTCTTTTGCCCTTTTTGTAATTAATAATACAATAGTTAAATTAACTAAAAACAGAAAATAAGAGAATAATATTATACTAGATGTTATTAGATATACATAGCAACAATAATATAATTTAGAAATAATTTTTTTTAGTTATATAATTATATCAAATTGATATATTCATATATTATTATTTTTTCTACTTATTATTATATAAATAAAAAAATAAAATAAAATGAAAAAATAAAATTTAAGTATAATAAATTGCATCAAAAAATTAAAAAATCCTTTCTGAAATGAAAAAAAGTTTTACAATGTGTAACCAAAATAAAATATTTAAAGATTACTTAGATGTTGCCTATAAATTTGTTATTTTTCCAAAAGAAGGTTCACAAAATTATTCAAAAATTTTATTACAATTAGTGATACTGAAAAACTAAGTGATGAATTATTCATTCTCCTATTTTATAGCTTTTCTTATATTGATAATTATTATATCATAGTTTCTGAATGGGCTAAATATAGTAGTCTTAAAAAATTTATAAAAATTATAACATTATGTAATATCACAAAATACTTTTAGCTTTTGATATTTGCTGCAGAATTGTATTTTTACAAAGTGCTAGAATTTTTCACCATGACATCCAATGCGAAAATGTAATGGTATATAATTATATTTTACCTTATTATTGCCTCATTCATATATAATGTTAAAACTTATTAAATAATTATCAGATAACTCAAAACTTGGAACCAAAACCTACAAATATTCAAATAACAGTCATATCAATAATTGTTCATTGACTAGCTTCTGAAAAAATGAGAGGTCATAGTTACACACATAAATGTGAATTACTCAGATTCAAATAATACTACTTTTTTAACCTGTTTTCATTTTATTACATGCATATATATTAACACTTTATGAAATATTTGATACAGTAGTTTCGGAATACTTTTATGGGAGCTTTATTATGAAAAATACCTTATAAAAATCTTGAAACTAAAGATATAATGGATCATGTTCGTAAAGGAAAAAGAGAAACGTTACCAATAGGCGGAGGAAAACAATCAGAAGATAAGGAAATACAAAACAAAATTTGCAAGAACTATTAATTAAAGTAAGTGTAATTAAGTTATACCTAAATTTGTCCAGAAGTATACTTAATATTTCTTGAAAAACTTTTTTTGATTTTGCCTGGAACTATACTTAAATTTTGCCTAAATTTTGCGTCTAATATTTTACCTATATGCTTGAAAATATTTTTTGATTTTGCTTTGAGTAATGCCCGGAATTATACTTATGTATCAATAAATACATCTTATTGCCAATAATTATAATCTGGCGAAGCATTTGTTTTTTTTTTTAATTTTGCGGGTGAAATCGAAAGATGCCCGTAAAATTTTAAACCTTTAAACTTATTTCATTTCCGACAGCCCCTTGATGGCATAGGAGAATGAACTGAAACTATATTTTGCATAAGTTGGGCGAGACCAATTTGATTTGGTGGTTTACATTACCCCCCCTCTCTCCTCCCCCCTCCCTCATAGTAAAAAAAAATTTTGTAAATAACATAAGGATTATGGGTCATTTCGGAAAAATTTATATTGAACGGAACATTTCGGAAAAAAATTTTTACTATGCAAACCCCTGAAAACCCTCCCCCCTCTTTTGAAGTGGAGATGTAATGTAAACCACCAGATCAAATTGGTCTCGCCTTATCCGGAAGGTACGATGTAACCACTAACGGGAAAGTTTTTTATTAAAGTATCTTTCTTGATACATCAAATAAATATTTGAGCTGCTGTAAATGAACTAGAAAAATCGAACTTTTTATTAATTTAAAATTTAAAATTTTTGCTATTCATCTTTTAGTATTATCACTTAATAATTGGGAATGGATATTATTTCAATTCACGTATGAAAACATGAATATATTTTATTTAAGTTAAGCTGTTAATTGAAAAAAACTATCGATTCTAGTAGGGAATCTGGGATGTTCTCTGAATGTAATTTATAATTATTATGTCTATCAGCGATCAGATAATTATAATTTGAAATTTCGCGTAACGTTATGACTGAATATGTGTCACAATGCATAACGTTTGTCACGTGATTAAAAGACATCCACGCAGTCATGTGACATACATTGGTGTACATTAGTGTTGAAATGATAAAATTATCCTTATTACTTGAGTTATAGCCATTACTAAAAAAAGTTTGGAAACCAGAATGATAAGCTTACTGTCATTTACCACCATTTGAAAATTTTATTTATTAACGTAATAAACCACATTTCCAACCTTATTTATCTCAATGACAAGCACATTTAATTCTAAACACACACCCAGGTATGAGAGCTAATAAGTTTATTACAGTATATGCTTTCTTTATCTTGCTCAGTCAAAATTTCAATATTATATTCTTCTTCTTGTTGATCCAAAATCGTAATGCTAGAAAGCTGGCTTTTATTAATTGCCTCCGAATGCGTTTCTAATTGCGCATATTTAGCAATACTATGTTTCATTTTTTCATCAGATTTAATAAATTCCATTGAAATCTCTTTATCTTTTTTCCAATTTATTATTGTATCATAAATTTTTTTTGCATTTGGTCTTTTTCCAGGGTTACTATTCCAACATCCTTCCATAAGCATTTCATAAGGTTGTGGAGTACCCTCTAAAATAGGTGGTCGCGTTCCGGATCGAATATCTAATTGAAGCCTTGCATCGTGTGACCTATTAAAAAAAGCTGGTTTTCCAGAAGAGATTTCCCACATTATAATGCCAAACGAATAGATGTCTGACAATATTTCATATGAATTTCCTTGCAAAACTTCCGGAGGAATGTAAGGTAAGTTACCGTAAACACGTTTAATTTCTAAATCTTCATCAGTAGATACCGCAATTCCTAAATCTCCAATGTATGCATTATTTAACTTATTTTGTAAAATGTTTCCGCTATGTAAATCTCGGTGAATAACGCTGTGTGAATGAATTAATTGAAGTTCGAAAGCGATATTTGACAATAAATTTAGTTTTTCACTCCATTTCATTTGTGAAACATGATAAAGGTTGTTGCGTAAAGATCCTAATGATGCTAATTGCATAACTAGAATATATTCATTCGTGTTTTCATTCACTGACATTCCATAATATTTTAAAAATGTATAGTTTTTGTTTCCGATCTTAAAGCATAAATCCACCTTTTTAGATTTATAAAGTAAATATATTAATAAGTAGTAACTTATATATCTATAATAAGAAAAAATTGAATATTTACCTCTTTTAAAAACTTTTCAATACTATTAAATACTTTAATTGCGACAGTTGGTTTTAGAAATTTATATTTATATATGCAATCCAACTCAGCGGAAAACACAGTTGCAAATCCTCCTTTTCCAATTTCTTTTATAATTTTTAGATCAGTAAATGGTATAAACGATATTGATGACCCATGTTTGTGAAACAGTTCTTTCAACCGATCATCTAAATTGTGGGGAGGCCTGGGATCTTCTTTTTCATATGCAAATTCATTTGCTTTTTGTCGCAATTCAATAACACTTGTCATATTTTCACGATTTATAAACGCGAGACATTCCATTGCATTGGGATTTCCGCCTTCAGCTGATTTTTTAAGCAACTCCGATGCTTTGTTTTCATTTTTACTGACACCTATGCCATATAGGTAGCAAATTGCACAAAAAAATTGTCCATCAGGGTCACCTCTATCAGCAGATTTTGAAAAATTTTCAAACGCCTTTTCTGGATTCTTATCAACACCTAAACCATAAAGGTATAACCATCCAAGATTACACAGCCCACCAATATTATGAGCATCGGAAAATGTTAAATACCAATAAACTTCTTTAACAATGTCAATATCATTTTTGTAGTACAATCTAAAGATAAATTGTCTAAAATAAAGATCTGCAGCCAACTTTAAAAACACTTCAGGTTCCTTATCTTTAATAGTGCCGATATTCCTTGAATAGTATTTTTCGAGGTCAAATTGTTCAGTAGAATTATTATTAGTATCCATACCATTTTCATAGAATAATCTACAATTGATACGCTCAAATTCCGAAAATTTGAATGCTTTGATTTCATCTTTATCAGTACCTATACCACTTGTGGATAAGGCTCCAACAATTAATCGACTGGTAGAATTATCAGCTTTAGCAGATTTTAAAAACCATCCAAATGCTTCGTTTCCATCTTTAGCAGTGCCTATACCAAATAAGTAGCAGATTCCAACATTAAATTGCCCATCAGAATTGCCGTTTTCAGCAGATTTTAAATACCATTCATATGCTCTGGTTTCATCTTTAGTAATGCCTATACCCTCTTTATAACAGTGTCCAACACTTAATTGCCCCGAAGGATCACCGGATTCAGCTGAATTTAAATACCACTTATATGCCTCTTTTTCATTTTTTTTAGTGCCTACACCACCTAAATAACAATCTCCAAGAAAACGGTTCATGAAGTTACAGCCTCTTTTAGAATATTTTAAGCAAGCTTCAAATAATTCTGAGAGACAGGCATGAGGTTTGTCTAATAACTTCTCACAATGAGCGATATTATTTAGTGTTGACATGTCTAGGTTCCTTCGTAATACGTTCACTTTAAATCAGTTGTTGAAGGTTAAATGATTGTAGTTATGTCAATATTAATGAATGTGAATATTTAACGAAAAGATGTAGGCCTTATTGTTTAGTATTTCTTTTGAGACAATGATGATTTGAATTTTGAACTTTGAATTTTAGCGATTTTTTATGGGCAAAAGTAGTATTTATACATTTTTAATTGCTGCGGTTTTCCTTTGATTTTATAGATGATAATTTAACTGCTAATTATTGTATTAATTTTTTTTAATGTGTTGTCAGTAAGCATTTTGTGTTTTGCCGTTTACAATCATATATAATATCTACTATTAAATAATGCGCACCACTACGATAAGAATGGTACTTATCATCACTCTCGCAGGTTTAATACTTGATTAATGCCGACATAATATTCGGACATTTATCTCTTATCAGCCAACCAAATTTGAAAAAATTTTGAAAATCTAACTGAAATTAATTATTATGTTATATAAATCCTTCAGCAATTAGTTATTATGAGTAACACCGAGAGAAAGCATGCCAGTTACTTTCTTTGGAAGTTTATTTTTAATCGAAATCCAGTAATCAAACGCGTCTAATTCTGATAATGATTTTTGTTATTAAAACTAATATATATTAGACCTGCCGTAAATGTAATACAAATCTGCACTGTGTATATTCCGATTTTTTAATATAAATTATATAGAGATATAGATACAAACAAGATTTTTAATACTCCTACTGGTTTTTGAAGCATGCTATAGTATTTTTCTTTAATTCCGAAATCTCTCTATGATTTGAATAATATTTTGTATGCGTGTAATTACTGGATTAGAGATGCCTGCTACAAAGTCGCAATTTTGCATCTCTTTATAATTAGTTGCAACCTTTGCGGACCCTCTTTTTGCCGAAAAAAAATATAAGATCGCAGAGTCACAATTTCGAAGTTTATGTAATTATTGTTATTAATAGAATGAATATCAAAATTAATTTTACTTTTATAATGCAGATTACGTACAATTTAACAATTAGTTTTGTCATATTATATATTTTATAATGTTTTATTAGAAAAATGATTAGGTACTATATGCATAAAATATATCACAAGGCTTAATTTCATAGCTATTTTCATGATTAAAGAGTCATTGATATTTACCATTAGATAGGCAAAAGTTTCAACATTGTACCTGCAGTTACATTGTTGATAGATCTCTAAATTTGAGTTACGTTCTTAATGCATTTTTAATATATAAAAATTCACGCAATTTTATTGGTTAATTAATTATAACAATACACACGACTATTATTTCCTACAAATTTTAAAATTTTCAAGACTTTGGGCGAAGATATATTATTAACTAAGAAACCAAAATTGATGACCCTTTTTAGTTTGGTTCTACAAACCGTAGAATAAAATATCATCGATTTTGGTTGGGTGTTTGACGAAATATCATCGAAAAAAGGTTAAAACCATTTAATGACATCTTTAGCAAAATTGTAAACTTTGAATGAAGATATCATGCCAACTAACCTAAAATCAGCGAATTTTTTATTTTTATTATACTGTTCTACAGAATAAAAATAAAAAAATTCATCGATTATGGTTGTGGTTGATGAGATATCTTCGTTTAAAGTTTTAAAATAACAAATTTTTACAAGCTTTGAATGAAGATATCTCGTCAACCACCCAATCAAAATTGTTGCAATTTTTGATTTAAATTCTACAGTTCCGGAAAATCAAAATAAAAAAAATTACATCAATTTTGGTTAGGTGGGTAATGAGATATCTTCGTTCAAAGTCTTAGAAGCATTTAAGGTGACTATTTAAAATAGTAGTTATAACAAATTTTGCAAAATTTGAACGAAGATATCTTGTCAACCATCTAATTAAGATCGATAATTTTTTTGTTTTAATTCTACTCAAAATCTTGAAAAAATTAGATCTCATACAATGTAGGTCTATCAAAAATGTAACCGCAGGTATATCAATTTAGAAACTTTTACCCCAGAAAAATGTGATCACGCACTCAAGGCAGTCAATTTTGGCTATTTTATGTTAATTTTAAAATTTATGATTTCGGTACCATTCGATCCGTCTCGATGAGATGAATTGAATGGTGCCAAAATCATGTAATTCTAATTATTGGTTCGCAGGATATCACTATGCGCCACAATTGTGAACCACTGATCATATTCGTACAATTTGGTATTAATCAATTAGTCTCTCCAAGACGAATCGATTGGTATTAAAAGTATATAATTCTGAGCAGATTATTATGAGATATCGTAATTGCGCTATAATGCCCATCTTATTATTATTTATCAATTAATCAAAAGCTGGCAATGAAATAAATTAAAATGCATAATTACGTAGTTAATATGAACTAATGTTCTATTTATAAAGCAATGAAAGATTTACTATAATTCAAGCGAACCTATCTTATTATTTACGATAAAACTCAATTTGATGCAAATAATATATAGTTTATCGAAATGATACAAACATACCTTAATAATTAATTTATTTCGGAAAAATAAATATGCCCATGACCAATGAAAAATGATGTGAAAACAATTGGAATTTTGGGTGTCACACGGACTAATTTTTATGTTACACGAATAATAACATCAATATTTGGTACTGTAATTATAATTATATCCAGACCAAAATATTATTACGTCATATATAATATTGGTAGTACCCTAGCCATGGCAAAAAAATTGACAGTCATGTGACTTTGACCAATAAGTGAAAATCAAACCAATTGAATAAGTGTATGAATTAAAGTAATAAAAATTATCGTTAAAGTTAGGGTAAACTTGAAATTACGCATAAAATATATCAAAATTTAGCAAGGAATTTTTTTTGTTAGTACGCAAAAGGTTGTTTCATAAGTTAAAAACAAATGACCGCAATTTTTACGTTACACTTGATCTTGTTATATAATTGGCTGGATTCCGAAAACTCACGTGACTGTCGCTTTTTTTTCGGCATGGCTAGGGTATTCTGTTATAATATAATTTTTCATCAAATAAATTTAAATGTTATAATAAATACTAGAAACGTTATTGCTGGAGCCTAATATTTTATCATTTATTTTAGAGATGGGCAAGGTAATTACTTATTACGCAAAAAATCAAATCACATTATGCGACAATTTACTAATAATATATACTTACGACTAGGGATGCGGTAGAATTATCTCAATGATAGTGACACGAGCGAAACGGCGAGTCAGTCGCTTCTCGACGGAATATGTTATGTAACCTACGAACGGCTTAGTAAGAGGCGGTTAGATTTGGCGAGTGGTATATTTATGATCGTAGGTTTTATAATAGAATGAAACAGGGAATTATTAGGAGCGAATTTTATGATAAGCACAAACTGAATTGTTCTTGTAAGGCTCGAAGCCTTTATTATATATTATTCTATTACATATGCGTTCTTTAAGGTATTAAACATATTAAAAATATTATCCCTATTATCCCTTATATACCTCTGCAATGTCCTTTATTACTTAAAACCCGTATAACCTGTTAATAATCGTTTTTATCCATTTCCCTCATTGCCCTTATTCCCTCTATTAGTTATAAACGACTTTTAGGATCTTTATGCCCGGTGTCATGTTTTACAGCTCACAATAGTCGTCACATTACCGTACCTATAGCAAGTAATATAGTAATAGAAGCACATCTAAAATTTTGTCATATGATTTTCATAAATTACATAAATCGATGAAATGACATTTTTAAAAATATTACCTAAATGATTAGTTAAAATACAGTACTCTATGTTTCCCATGACGAAAATAATTGCCGAAGTTTTATGAGCTAAAAAGTATCAAAAACTAACTTCTCCTTATAAAATAACATGCTCTTGAACATAAGTCATTATTTTGTCTATTTTCGCTGCATTATTTTCAGGTTTGCAAATTCACGATCTACAAAGTGTTTCACTAGACGTGACTGAACGAGAATTTTCTGTAAAATCAAATTTTAAAAGGTTGGTACATTATCAAAATAATGAAGAAAACCAAAAAAACTGGTTTGCAGTATGTAGATTCACCTATTAATTCATATATTCAAGCTATTTACTTTCATCAATACTTATCATTACACTATCTTTTTTATTTAATTGAATTCATTTTTTTTTTATATAGGGATTATTTGAGTTTGGTGCTGAAAAAAGGGACAAAATTGACAAAAAAAAATCACTCACAAAAAATTAATTATCTCATGAACTATCGATCAGAATCACATACTTTTGGTACCATTCATGAGATAATTAATTTTTTGTGAGTGATTTTTTTGTCAATTTTATCAGTTTAATCTATGATTTAACTAATCCAACCGACAATAGTACAATTGATATTATATTATTGTATAATTGGTTCATAACTAAATTTTGTAATAGGTGAGTAAACGATTCTTTATTTTAATAATACATGAATAATTAAAAATAAAATACCTATATAGTATTTTATAAAGATAGATAAAGTTTAATATATAAGCAGATAATAGGATTACGAGTTTAGTAGCAAGTAATGTATTTAGTAGTAGGAACATAATTTAATGGATACTGGCTATTATAATAACGTGTTTTTTAGAAGATATAAATTTGTAAAGGCAATTTTATTGTAACATAAATTTTACACCAATGATTTGCGTGACATCTAGACCGACTGATATGTTACTCAACAAAATGCAGATCATTTTTTGAACAGCCAATCAGAATCGGGATTTTGTGTACGAACACCAAAATCGAATTGAACCATCCACTTTGTTTCACTACATTTCTATTAGTAGTAATTCAAGTTAAAATTCTTTCAAATGGCAAGATTTATAAACCCTAACAAATTTGTTTAAATTGGAACTTGTACCTTGTGATCGTAGCTTGTAACCATTTCTAAAGTTTGTAGTTTTTAAACGGGCTTGGTAAGTTTATAAAAACCAAATAACAATCGAATACTATATATAAAAGGTTGAAACGAAATCCCAACTTCAAGGCCGCATTCTGTTTAAATTTATTATATATCTTGTTTTAAATATAATTATTAGACTATGATACTTTATGTCTCGTAAACGTGGTTTCTTAAAAAGAAATCCTTGAAAGCAGCATTCAAAAAGACCTACTGTTGCAATTTACTATGAAAAATGAGCTTATCGTATTGTCGTCTCGGAAATCGGCGAGTCTGTCGCTAAACTAAGCCAACTCTCGTGTAACCTACGGCGGCTAAGTCGAAACAGGCGTGTTAGATTTGGCGAGTGGATTGTCGTCCGTAGGTAAGTACTGGTCTCTTCTCTTGAGTCTTCCTTCAACCTACTCTATTCTAATTCTTATCTTCTTTATTGTCTCAACCGGGATTTCACTACGTCGAATCGGGGTTGGAACTCTTCTATTTTTCATTACGGTTTACTAGGCACGTGACTATGGCGAGTGCTCAATTACGGGTTTGGTTGTTCTTGGGGGGTAGCGTTAGTACTGGGATTTATCGATAGTTACTGGGCTTTTATGGGACAAGACTTTCACTTTAATTATGGGTCTGGTAGGTAGTTTATGTTTCGCAATTGGAATCGCTCCCCTTTGCCTGGGCGAATTGCCCTTTATTTATAATAAACTGCCTTGTCTATTTACATTATGGACTTGTCTAGCATATCGAACATATCTAATTTATCATATATCACACTTATGCGATATAGCAGATATATCAGATATATCGGACATATTTGATATATTTGACATACCTGACATTCGGGATCTATGTCACGTGTACAGGTCACGTTTTCTGATCTCACAGCATGAATGTCGATCATTCACAGTGAAAAATTTACCCATGTGATCTGTGTGACAAATCGTTGTCTGGTAAGTTACGGTTATAAGGCCGTAACTTACTATATTACTTAGTTACGGCAAGTTACTGTACGATCTGCTACATCACTACTGTTGGGTTCGGAAGATTGCGACTCTGTCGCTCCACAATTCAAAATCTCGCGTAACGTACGACAAGTAACTTTTTCGAAAGAGGGTGTTAGATTTAGCTGGTGGGTGATTAAGGCTTTCGGTTACTTTGGGTCAACGAATACAAGTGGGTAAGTCACGTGATATAAAACTCGAACGAATAACGAAGTTTATGCATTTTACAGGGTTTGTACAGGGTTTAGTGTTAGTATTTTATGATAGACGATATAATGTATTGGGACTTGTTATTTTAATAAAGCAAACGAAGCGTACTGCTCATAAGGGACATTTCGGCCTTTATTTATAATACTGAATTCGTCGCTCACAAATACGACTTTACACTTATTACCTATTAAAACTAATTAAACCTATTTACAGTGATTTATGTTATATCTTTAAGGATGTGTAATTTGTCTTCACATCCTCCCCTTATTCCTTATCTACCTCTTTGATCCAAAATACCTTTTCCGATCATAAATGTAACTTATTGCACTTATTGCATTTCGTGCATTTTTCACGTGATCGGTCACGATATTCCGGTATCACACTACTTACGACTAATAAAATGCAAAATTGTCACATTGTGTGATTTAACTTTTTACGTAATAAGTAATTACCATGCCCATCTCTAATTTATTTATTGTGGATTTCGGATTTATTTTTATTATTTATACGAATTTGTGTTCTTTATGCAAATAAAGGTTCGCCGTTTTTTTTTCTTTGGCATATCATTGGTGATAATGTTGTTATGCGAAAAAGTTTAGGCCGAATACATCTACCTTGCATTGTTTCGGGGGTGCCTAATAAATTATTTCACTCTAATTTTGACAAAGGTAACAGGAGGAACCGTCGATGTTACACTACTGATTCTTCACTCATAAAAAAATTATTTTACTATACCGATTATTCAACTACTATAATCCCACACCATTTTTATTATAATAATATGGTGTGGATTAAAATAATAACATGTACTAGTGGAATGATCGTATTGTAAAATAATTTTTATATATATTGCACACCGGACGAAGGATCAGTCGTGTAACATCGACGGTTCCTCCTGTTCACAAAGGTACTCGTGGAAAATCAGGACAATAAAAGCCCTTCGAACAAATAAGTAATGAAGTATGTACTTACACCTTTTTCTTTAACATTCTGATCCATGCTTTTAATTTATAATCTGTCAAGTCTAAGAACTATTTTGTATTTCATAGTTTACATATCACGTTCAATGAATAAAGATATAAGTGTAAAAATGAGAACAGTGATAATTATCAGTATGCACTTCTCACCTGTACTGTAATATTATGTATATGCAAAACGCGTTATACAATTTTACATTTGAGAAAACTATCACCTATAGTGAGCTTGTCAACACAATTTGTACGTTTAATTGAAGGGCACTATAACGTGAAGATTCAAGTGTTCATGGGTTACAAGGTTTTTTTTTTTTCTGCGAATAGAAAAGTTCATTTCGTTATTTACTAATCGCGAATAATAAATAAATATCAAAAAAATGTGTCATAAGTTCTTTAACCACAAGACAACGTATGATGGTTTTTTTTTCTTAGATATAAATTTCATTCAAAAATTTTCTTTAGTCGATCAATATGTAAAACTAGATTGTTTTTATGATAGTTCAATAATCTTTGAGCTACCGATTAGATTATGAAAAAATAATCTATTTTTTTATTGCTAACGAACTTTTAAACAATTTAATTAATTTCTATATTTGAAATTACATCTGTTGAATATTATCTATCAAAAACTTTCTTATAAAAGTGATAATACAAGTTTCAATACATTCTGTAAAAGTACGATGTCTCATCGAAGACAAAGTCAACAGCTAAGAATGCATTGGTAAAACACTTTATGTTTTAGAAAAAGCTTTTCTTCTGAAAGTGATAATACAAGTTTCAATACATTGTGTAAAAGGACGGTGTCTCATCGAAGACAAGGACCAACACCTAAGAACGCATTGGTAAAACACTTGATGATTCTTTGCTGCTTCAAGTTCTTGTTCAGTAATTTCGGCAGCTTCATCTGAAGATGCTTCAATCTCTTCAGGGGCGATAGTTTCTAGATCTTGATAAGGCAAATTAGCCGAAGTTGAGGTATCGATGTCGTCGTAAGCAAGATCCGAATTTTCGGCAAAAGCATTCACAGAGACAGAACTAGCGAGAATAATAAATGTGATAGCAACAAGAAAGTACAATGCAAAAGTTATGTGACGAGACATTTTTATTCAATAATTGCTAATTGCTCTTTGTTTTCGAAATTTTAGAACAAGGTTGTTTCTATATCCTTTTATATATATTTTACCATTCTTTTTTAAACTTGAACTATTTAAACTTTTATCAATTTCTCATAGAAGCGAAACACTTTTAAAATGATTTGATTACCTTTGTGGCTAACGATTAAGTTAGATGATGATACTTAATCAAGCTCTAGTCAAAATTTTTTTGATCTAAATCTAATGGAAATTAATGTAGTAGTTTGGTGTTGTAGAAATATTACTCTATCAACAAGTGTAACTACGCATTATTAGGCTCTTGTACCGACAGATCCGTTTAAATTTATGCAACTGTTGTCGTTTAAACATGTTACATATTATCAATTCTCTTAAACTAAAAACCCATCTGAACCAGTTATTACACATTACGACTGCCGTCGCGACAGGACACTCACATACCATGCATTTTGGGTAGGGTGGGCAGGATCGATATAACCAGAACGAAAGTCGGGGTCGCAGAAAAATAAAATTGACTTACATCATTTTCATTGACTATATACTATGAATTAATTACCTCATACTTACTTACTAATAAATACTAATCATACTCTATCAATGATCGCATTACTAATTGACTCACACTTACTAAAGAACACTAATCATACTCTCATCAATGATCGCATTATTAATTACTTCTTCATCCTTACTAATGAATACTAAATTATACCCTCATCAATGACCGCATAACTAATTGGCTCATAATTTCGTTCGATCAATTCTTCGGAAAATTGCTTTCGAAAACTTTTCAAATTTATTTAGTATTATTATTATTCGAGTATCACCGTATTGTCTCGAAATAATGTTCAGATGGTTATTTCGAGTCACAATTTCCAGAGAGATAATAATTAATCTTAACGGGTTAAAAAAAAAAAAATTATCGTTTGTATTCGTCAAAATTAATTCTTATCTCTCTGGAAATTGTGCTTCAAAATAACGCCCAGGCGCGCAATTTCACAACAATATAGTAAAGAAAAGCTTTCTTAATTATTATTTTAAGAGATAGAACCATATTATTAGTCCAGAATAAATCGTTAAATATATACTTAATTACTAAATATTAATCGCAAATAGATTTAAAATGAATTGTAAAATTTAAATTAAACATCGACATCGAATTATCGAATATACAAAAAATACACTTTCCGAACTCAACCTATTATAGATGAAAATTTCACGTCGTTATCTCCAGGATTCATTATAAAGAAGTAACCTTGGCTGTAATTGGGTTTGCAAACGCATAAACCAAATTAACGCAAATAAATAATTCAATAGAAGTTATAAAAGATTTTAATGTTCTAAACAAACTCAACTAATACAAACTGAAAATTTCACGTTCATGTCCGGCGGATAATTATAAAGTAGTAAGCTTCTATTTTAAAGACTAATATGTATTTATGAACTAAATTAACAATTCAATAGAAGTTATAAAATTAGTGTTTTAAAATATACTCACGATTTAAATAACGAAAAGAAGAGTTTTGTAAAGATATTTATTTATTCTCGTAATATAAGTTAAGAATTTTTTTTACAAGCCTAAGAACTTACATAGTATGAATTGTGGTCGTTCGTTTATAATGTTTTATTGTTTTTCTACATATAAGACCACCTTTATTTTGTGACAAAATATGAGTTAAAAATGAAAAGAAAAAATTTTTTTTTGTTTTCTATAATGAACTCAGTTCTTATAGTAAAAATTTTAAAAGAATTTGTTAAAAGATCTTTATAAAAATAATTTATTATGCTTCTATACCACTCTATAAATTCGATTAAAAAGGTTTCTTATTGAGTAGGTTCGTTACAAGGAGTTTCGATATACGTAAATAAGGTCAGAAGGCGGGATTTGTACTGTATGTCTAAATTTAATAAACATTCTCTTGGATGAGAACGAGAACAGCCCTAACCGGTTTTTAAAAAACAACTATGAATGCATTTGGGTTACACTATACCCTATAAAAAATGGTGCATGGAATTTCTGGTCAAACACGGGTACGTGACAGTACGAGAGTATACAGAACTATATAGAATATAACACGGGATGGTGCACGGGAAAACGTGCACTGGACACGTAAAAAGGCGCGAATTCCGTGCAACAGTGCACGTAATGGCGTGCTTTTTTACGTGCTTTCCCATGCAATTTTCCGTATAGTTACGTATGTGGCC